ATTAGGTTTTTATTTTGTTTTACTCTCCTTATCATGGCTGATAATAAACGTAAAAAGTTGAAAAACTGTTCTAAAAGACACATTAGGCGAATTACAAATGAGTTTTGTAGGAGATTTGACAATGAACATTCTGATACTACTAGTGAAGATATTATTATTCGAGCACCAGAAATTCAATCTACATTTGTATGTGCATCTACATCAATAACTAATGTAGAACATAAAATGAATAACGAGAACAATGGACAAAAATTACCAATATTTTCTTTAAATAATAATAGTAGTGTGAAGGATTGTGAAAATGAAAATTATTCTAGCAATAGCTCTTCATACGGTTCTAGACCTATCAGTAGTAGTTCATGTGATTCTTACGATAGTAATAATATTAATCTTGTTGAAATTGATAATGTCGATAGTTTAATTGAAAATAATAAGGATGATAATACTGTAGATGATTGTAGTGATTTAGACATAAATAATTGTAGTTTGTTAGAAGAAAAGTTGCGTGAGTGGCATTTTAATCATAATACAACACTTGCTTCACTTTCTTCAATGTTAAAAATTTGGAAAAAATTTACAACTTTTGAGTTACCTAGTGATGCTAGGACTTTACTTAGTAMTCCACGTGTTGTTAGAATAAAGTCTATAGAAGGAGGAAAGTACTGTCATTTTGGCCTTAAAAAAGCAATACATTTAATTATTTTAGCTCTGAAATTAGAAATTGGGAGTTTTAAAGAAATTAATTTAACAGTTAATATTGATGGACTACCTATTTCTCGGTCCAACCAAAGTTGTTTTTGGYCCATTATGATATCTGAATCGCGTTTAAAGCAAAAAGTTTTCATAGTAGGCGTTTTTCATGGTTATGGAAAACCTAAGTGTCCTAATGAATATTTAGAAGARTTCATTTCAGAATTAGTTCCTTTATTAAACAATGGATTTTTAACTACAGAGGGTGAAATTATAGCAGCGTTTTTGTCTGCGTTAATTTGTGATGCGCCAGCTAAATCGTTTGTGTTATGTACAAGTGGACATACAGCATATGGTAGTTCTTCTAAATGTACTATACATGGCAAATACATTAATAATAGATTGTGTTTTCCATCTGATGGAGAATATTCAGAATTTAATTTGAGATCAGATGAAGACTTTTCTAAATTTTTGTACAAGAATAAATATCAACATGGAATTTCTATTTTTACTACATCTGTGCCTAGTTTTGGGTCAGTATCATGCGTTCCTCTAGATTATTGTCATGTGGTATGTYTTGGTGTGGTGAAGAAACTTATTTATCTTTGGGTTAAAGGTCCTCGTTTTTTTAAATTAAAACCATCCGATATCAAGGTAATTTCTGACAAATTAATTGAAATGCAACAGTATACTCCAAAAGACTTTGCCCGAAAACCGAGGGCTCTCTCTGAGTTTTTAAACTGGAAAGCTACTGAATTTCGACAGTTTCTTTTATATACAGGGCCTGTTGTTTTAAAGTCAGTTTTAAAATCTGATTACTATGATCATTTTATAATTTTACATGTAGCCATATCTATTTTAGTGAACCCTGAACTAGTTAAATCAGAGCATTTTATTACATATTCTCATAAATTATTACAGATGTTTGTTTTCAAATTTCAAAATCTATATGGAGAATACTTTGTTTCTCATAATGTCCATAATTTACTTCATTTGTCTAATGATGTTAAAAAATATGGTGCGTTAGATGTATTTTCAGCGTTTAAGTTTGAAAATAATATGATGTTTGTCAAGAAACTATTASGAAAATCACAACATCCTTTGCAGCAACTAACTAAACGTTACATTGAAAGAGAAAATTTTTTAGTTAATTATGAACAGGAATGTCAGTCAAAAATAGTTCATAAAAATGAGCATAGTGGTGGACCAGTGACCTTTGATTTTACTGACTTGAATATTAAACAGTTTAAAACTTTTTCAAATGGCATATTGTACTTCTCTTTGCATGTGATCAGTTTGAAAATTGTTTTTGTATATTGAAAAATAAGAAGATTGTTCAAATTAAAAATATAATATTGTTTAATAATGAAACTAGCTTTAGGCCGCACCTACATTAGGTCCGCATTTCTCCCGATCCGATCCGATCCGACGTTGTCCGATGGTCGGTATCCGATGACGGCAGACGTGAATACCTACACTGGTCCCGACGTGATCCGTTCAACTGTATACTGTCTACCGTTCTACTGCAGTTTGTAGTAGACGTTATTGCAGTAAACACGTGATAACAAAATGAGTGATTCTGATGATGATTTTTTGTGCTGGTTTTTGCTGGAAAATAACGCCTTACTAAAGAAACGTAGTACAAAGACATGGGTCCATGAATTCAATTTAGATCGATCGAGAGGAGAATTTTTTACAACTTGCGTACCTATGCGGAATTACCCGGTTAAGTTCAGGGAATACCATCGTATGAGTATTGAAACATTTGACTACATTCTTGGAGGAATAAGAAACGACATAACTGGTCAATCAAACTTCAGGGTATGTGTCAGTCCAGAAGAAAAACTCACCATCACAATACGGTAAATAAACCTTTAGTACCTTTTCATTATATAGATATAATAMATTTAAAAAACTAGTAACGATTCGTGAGCACAAGTTTACTTAATACAATTAACCAATTAATTTTTTTCAATAACAAAATGGAAGGATTGATTTGGCACTTTAAAAATTAGAAATATTCTGAATGTTTTAAATAAAATAAAATAAAAAATAAAAATTTAAAAAATCTTTATTGTTTCCAAATAACAAAATGACATATGAAAATGAAATCTCACAGATTCATAAGATTATAGAAATCCTGTTGTGAAGGTTGTACTTCAGTCTGATATGCTTGATTCGCTTGAAACGACATTGAAGATGATTGAGAATGCTCGGAATCTTCAGTACTGTATGATGGTGACGACAAAGGGGAATCAATGGGTGATGGTATGATTCTTGACGAATTTACTTCCTTCACGAACTGGTGTGCTTCCAATGCATCTGTGACATCGTTCATGATTTTCATTCATAGTCTCATTTTCTCAATCTGAGTTAGTTGCTTAACAGAAGGCARTAAGCTCATGAAGAATGCGTAGTCCTGATCATCTTGATGAGTATTTGTTGGTCRAGAAAAACGTTTTTCCATCAGGTTAATTTTCCTTCTTTCAATTTCAAGCACCTGGGAATCATAACTATTTTGTTTTTGTTTTTTTGAAAGAATTGTATCGTTATCATTTTTATTATTTCTTTTTAAAGAAYTTGATGGTTGTTKWTTGCTTTGAGGTTTGGCAAATGAAGTGAATTCTGATCCAGATGCTTCAGGTTCCCTGATAGAACAATTGATATCTGCCTCTGTATCATTTGTATTTTCCTCATCTACATCTTCTAGCGTGGCGTTGCTTAAATTACTTGGAGACAGTTCATTTTCATCATACGTGAGAGGCAAATTTCCTGAGCTCTTCCTGGGTATCATCACGTCCCCTAAAAACATCATGRTATTAAAAAAAGGCCATTTCACAATGTCGGACCTTCCTTGACCACTTTTGGTTTCAGTATCAGTTTTTAGTTTCCTTCTAAATGTGTCTCTAAGATTTTCCCATGCTTTACGAGCCTGTTCACCTAAAATACAAAACAGTTGTAACATGTCCATTTTTCTRATGATAATTTATTTGTAAATTTAGTGTAGAAACAAGTTTATTTATTTGTCAGTTATTTTAAATGTTAAAAAAATGTTATAAAAGTTAAAATTGTTTACCACAGAATGTTAGTAGAAATAGCTACAGGATTTCAGGAGCGGTGGAATTTTCCCCAYGCTGTTGGATGTCTTGATGGCAAGCACATTCGAATTCTATGCCCGAAAAAAAGTGGAACTATGTTTTACAACTACAAACACTTTTTTTCAATAGTGCTACAAGCTGTTGCGGATCACCGATGTCGATTTATTTTTGTGGATGTAGGAGGATATGGAAAACAAAGTGATGGAGGAACTTTTTCCGCTTCTTCTTTATCTACATTTTTGGAAAATTGTCATACTAATTTACCACCATCATCACATATCGAAGGAATTGTTACAGATATGCCATTCGTAATACTTGCAGACGATGCATACCCACTTAAGACCTATATAATGWAACCGTACTCAAGACGCAATCTATCACATGAAGAGAAAATCTTTAACTACAGGCTATCAAGGGCTAGGAGATGTGTGGAGTGTGCTTTTGGTATTATGACAGCCAAGTGGCGTTTGCTTGGAAAATGTATAGAAACTA